AAGACACACTAAAAGGCAAAAAGCACACTTTGAAGACAGTTAACCAGCATTAGAGCCAGAGTCAGATATGGCAGGAATGGTGGGATTATCAGGCTAGAAATTTTTTTAAACTATAATTAATATGTTAAGGAAACTAATGGAAAAAGATGACATGCAAGAACAGATGGGTAATGTAAGCACAGAGACAGAAATTCCAAGAAAGAATGAAAAGGAATGCCAGAGGAAAAGAAACCACGGGACCAAAGCTGAAGAACGGTGCCGACAGGCTCCTGGGCAGACAGGACATGGTCACGGCTGGAGCCTTGGACGTCCGTCTGTCAGTGATGTGCGGACCCCGCAGGCGGCGTCACTGAGGAGACCAGCAAGCGCGGGAGCCTGGGAAACCGACCGTGTACCCGACGAGCACAGGCCCCTCCCTCCGCGGGCCCTCGCGGAGCACTCGCCAGGACAGGACGCATTCTGAGCCGCGAAACACACCTCGCCCAGTGTGGAAGAACAGAAGTCACACAGTGTCCACCCTCAGACCACAATTAAACCAGAATCCCTTGATAGAAAAATAGCCGAAAAATCCAAAATACACAAATATTAAACGACATACTTCTAAATGTCACATGGGTCAAAGATGAAATCTCAACACAAATTTAAAGTAGTTAGAATTAAATGAAAATGAAAATACAACTTACAACACTCTGTGGGTTGTGCTGCCCAGAAGGAAATTTATAGTATTGAACGCGTGTATCAGAAAGAAGAAAGATAGGAAATCTGTAATCTAAGCTTCCACTAGGAAATAAAACAGGGCAAATTAAATCCCAACTAAGCAGAAGAAATTAATAAAATTAGAACAGAAATCAATAGAACTGAAAAGAGGAAGTCAATAGAAAAATCAACGAAAGCAAAAAAGCTAGCTTTTTAGTAGATCGATACAATTATGTGCTTATAGCCAGGCTAAAAAAAAAAAGAGAGAGAAAAGACGTAAGTTACTAATGCATATCAGAAATGAGAAAAGAGGTTATCGCTACAGATACTGTGGACATTAGGAGGATAATAAAGAAATACTGTGAGTAACACAATGCCCAAACATTTGATAACATAAATGAAATGGGCCAATTCCTTGAAAGGCACAATCTGACCACACCACACGGGAAGAAATGGACGACTAAGTGGGCCCACCTATTAAAGAATCTGAGTCAATAATTCATAACCTTCCGAAACCGAAGGCGCCAGGCCCAGATGGACGCACTGGCTGCACCAAACACCTGGGGAGGCGCTGCTCCCAGAGCTCCCCAGCTCCGCCCAGAAACCAGAGCAGAGTGGACACGGGCCAGCACATTCCAGGAGGTCGGCACTACTTCCGCCCCAACATCAGGTGAGGAAACCGCAAACAAGAAGAAGCACAGACCTGTATCCCTCATGAACATAGTTATAAAAATCCTCAAATATATCAGCAAATCAAATCAAACAGTGTGCAAGGGTGATATGCACTATGAACAAGTGGGTTTCTCGCATGTGTGCAAGGCTGGTTCGCCATTTGAGTATCTGTAAGTGTCATTCATCATAGCAACAGGCAAAAATGAAAAAAATCACGTGATCAGTTGATGCAGAAAAAACACCTGACAATATTCAATACCCCTCATGATTTCTCTCAGCCAACTAGGAACAGACGTGACCTTCCTAAACTCAATGGAAAAAAATCTACAAAACACAGCAAGCTAATATCACACTCAACGTGGGGAGCTGGCCACTCTCCCTCAGGGGCCAGCAACCAGGCCAGAGGTCCCTGCGCCCCCGCCTTCCAGTGGCATGCTGGAAGTCCGTGTTAACACACGACGGCAACTGGAAGTCCGTGTTAACACACGACGGCAACTGGAAGTTCGTGTTAACACGACGGCATGCTGGAAGTCCGTGTTAACACGATGGCATGCTGGAAGTCCGTGTTAACACACGATGGCAATAACGGGAATAAAGTACGCAGTTCGGCGAGAGAGAAATACAATGGTCTTTGTTCACTGAGGACGTGATTGTCATGTAGAAAATTCAGAAGACAGACCAAAAACTTCTGGAACTAAGCAATTACGACAGATTGCAGGATGCAGGTTTAACATGCGAGAAAGTTCATTGATCTGCTGTACTGATTTACTATAAAGAAGTGAAACTGAAATAAAAAACACTTCACCATTTACACTGCACCCCTAAAATGAGACACCTAGGTATAAGTCTAACAAGATACGTAAAGGATCTAGACGACAAAACCACACAACTCTAAGGAGACATCTCAAAGGAGAACTAAATATGCGGAGGGACTTCCACGTCAATGAGCAGGAAGACTCATTGCTGTCAAGATGCCAGTTCCAAACTCAACCTGTAGATTCAAAACTGTTCTCATCGAAATCTCAGCAGTGTGTTGAGTGGCCCCGGGCGAACTGACTCGCAAGTCTGCACGGAGAGGCCAGAGCAGCCGGCCTGCACAGAAGGGGACACACAGAAGGGGACGGGTGGGCGGGGGACAGCACACAGCCACACGGGTGCAGGGACTGCTCTCTGACAAGGGGCCAAGGCCACACAGCACAGCAGAGACTGTGTCTCCCACACGGTGCTGGAGCCACTGGGTGTCCATGAGCAACAACACGAATCCAGACACAGACCTCACGCCCTTCACCACAGTTAACGCAAACGGACCATGGGCCGAAATGTAACATGCAAAACTCTACCACTTTCAGAAGGGAACTCAGGAGAAAACACAGATGACCTTGGGTTTGGCAGTGCCTTTTACAGACATCAAAGGCACAGCCATGAAAGAAAGAACTAACAAGGTGGATTACTTTAAAAGTAAAAATCTCTGCTCTGCAGACGACTGTGCAAGAGCCTGAGTGCCAGACTGAGAGGAAGGACTGGCAGAGACAGCTGCTGGGGACCTTCATCCAGTGTAAGAACTGGTAAAATTCTGTAATTAAAAAAAATCTGATTAAAAACTGAGTGGAAGGCCTGAACAGATACCTCACCAAAGAAGATACAGAGATGGCAATAAGCATGTGAAAAGTTGCGCCACATCACAGGCAACTGCAACCCCCTGGACAGCTGCCGGACCGCCCCCAGTCCGGGGCACTGACCACGCAGAGGACTGGGAGCCCGCGGAGCGGCAGGGGCGGCAGGGGCCTCCCTCACCGCCACGGGAACCCACACGGCGCGGCCACGGGAAGGCAGCGGGCAGTTCCTTCCGAAACTGGGCATATACTCAAACGACCCAGCAACGGTGCTCCTTGGCGTTTCTCTTCCCAGGGGATCTGAAAACTTAGGTCCACACGATGTTTACAGCAACTTTATGCATAACCGTCAAATTTGAAAGCAACCAAGATTATACTAGGCAAGCTTTAAGAGGAAGAAAATTTGCTTGAATAGTAGACAAAGCCCTTGACCCCCTAAAAATGTTCAACAGTCCCTTGGAGAACACATGCGCAGGTGTGCGCTGTGAGATTCAGGACAGCATCCTCAGCACAACAGGGGCGACCGGGCACCTGGGGCACCCGCTGGATGTTCCCACAGCCCCCGTGGGACTGGCCCAGCACGTCTGTGGAGTTGGGACATTTGCTGTGCACCCTGTTGGAGACAGAAGACAGCTGGACCACACGGAGCAGGAGCCTGTGGTTGTGTTTGAAGGCACGCGTGGCCGCCCCTCCTCCCAGTGAGCTTACAGCAGGCCTGGCAGGGGGTGGTGGACATGGCGTGAGCTGAAGGAGGTGCCCCTGTGGGACTCTGTCTGTGCAACCCCAGTCCTTCCCATGTCCCCGACACCCCAGGCCCAGTGCATGTGGCCCTCAGAGGCCTGCAGACTCTGCTCAGAGCTTCCCACTGCAGGCCCACACCACGGAGTCTTCCAGCTGCCCAACCCTCTCTGATGGTAAAACCTGTAAACGGGGATGCTGTCGCACTCAGCCTTCAGGCCGGACATTACCAATAAAACTATCAGCTCCCCAGGCCAAGGGGTGCAGTTTGAAAAAGCATGTTTAACATCAACATAATTTCAGAATTTGTAGACATTAGAAATATGCACAGAAGCATGTATCTTGCTTGCCAAGCATGTATCTTGACCCAGCCTTCTGCGGGGCACGACAGGCCGGGAGGGGTGGGTGGCACCACCCTGGAGCCCCCAGAGCTCTTCCCTGAATGGACCACGACGGGACAGTCACTCAGTGCTTTAGAAGCCTACGAAACACTGCTCTCCCCGGAACATTAAGCACAGTGCCCTGCACTCTGCAGGCGCACAATGTGTATCTAATGAAAGTACTTCACGTATCAAGATGTGTTTTTATTAGGGGGAAAAAATGTTCTTTTTGAACATGCAACAGTAGTACTTCTCTCTAATAGTTTAGAATCCTAGGAAACTTTCTAGTATTTAAAAAGGACATCAGCAGTCTCACTAATTCTACAGAACTCTCAAACCGATGAGGACAGCATCACACCTCACAGGACAGGAAAGGGCTTGAGACGGAGCTAGCACCGGTGCCACCTGGTCCTGGAGCCGCAGGTACGGGAACAAGGCTCTGAGCAGAGGTCATGCTCTGTGCTCAGCCCTGGCCGCTCTGGGACCAACACTCAAGTCTTCCCCCTCTGGGTCGGTGCTCTTCCCAATAACCCTCAGCCCGACCTGCCTGCTGCACCCCCCTGGGGTCTCGCCATTCGCCCCGAGTGTTCCTGTCTCACACACTGAGAGAGCTTCGCTCTCTGTATTCATACCACTGAAAGGCTGGACGAACCAAATGCCATACTAACTTATCGTTACACGTATATGACATGACATAGTTTTCTTCTTCTCTGTTCCCCAAACATCCCATTGACATGTTAGAGACTAGTCCATTCCATGAATTTACTGTAATTATATGCAACTATTTCTCTATGACTGGGCCTTAAGAGTGGACTAGAAATGGAAAAAAAAAGCATCTTTCATTCAAAACAGTCTTCCCGTAGGCCGCAGAAAGCCAGGAGCGCCAGGGAGCCGTACTCACAGGTCAAACACCAGGTAGTGGAAGCCTTCTTCTGATATGCTGTCGTGCAGCCGCACTGAAAGAGAGGCGAGAGAGGGGTCTGCGTTACCGGGGCGCCAGTCACTGACAGCCAGTCCCCCCAGCAGCCGCAGCCTCTGCTGCGGCAGTGTCCCTGGCAGCAGGCTGGGGCTCACAGAGACCCCGGATTTGGGTTCTGGCCCTGGTAATGATTACCTGTGTGATCACCATCAAATGGACCAACTCTAATTCCCAGCTGCACAGGCCTCGCGCAATGTCTGCGCCAAAAAGGCGGTTCCATCCCTGCAGATGTCACCCTCGGCCCGCCAGTGGGACCTCTTCTGCATCCCTCTCCAGAAAGTTCTCCAAGGTCCCCGTAACCGCAGGTCATCATTTGCACAGAGTGGGGGTGGCTGGCTGCGGGCGTGGCCCAGCGCAGGCTCAGGCCCTCGTCTGTCTCCCGCTCCTTGCCCTGGGCCTCCAGCAGCCTGGGCCTGGGGTGGCGTCTCTTCCTCTCGGTCCCCAGGGCTCCTTCCGCACCCTGAATGCCCTCCTCACCCACCCACCCACCGAACAGGAACTGCTTTCCTAGGTCTGTGCATGTGTTAGAGACTCGGCACCAAAGGAATGGTCTTTCAGTCATTTTGGAGCATTTACCACCTGAGGTGCTCGGCGTTCTTTTGAGCTTTTGGACAGAAATTTCCACCTGATCTCACTATATCTGTTTTTGTCCCTAATATTAAAATAGCTGCCCAGACTGTCCTCTGGGAACCTGAGTCACGGGAAATACGTGCGGGACGCCTGCTCCCTTCTCTGAACGTGGCCTCCACAGGAGACCAGAAGTCCGGCTCTGCCCATAGCCCTTCAGCCCGGCACGGAACGATGGGCAGCTCAGTGGCCTTCAGGAAAGGCACGGTCTTGCACACACCTCTCCGCACATCTGGAATGGTCAGCATTTTGGTAAGCTCACGTAACGGCACGTCTACTTAAAGAACTCAGTCACCCTGGGAAAACAGCATGGATTTCCACACCATGGAGGCCAATGCAGCAGGAAGAAACGGGTCCTCCTTCCCACTGCCTGGAGGACGGTGGACGGGGACCGAGGGGGGCTGCCGAGTGAAGCCGGGGTGGGCATGACAGGCGCCCCAGGAGACTCAGGACTAAAGTCTCGTTATAGCTGGAATACGAAATCCTTAGTATGACTGCCACGACCGCCTTAACACTTGGGCAGAGTTGCCATTTCAGAGTGAATTGTTTTTTTGGACAAGTCAAGCAAGAGTTGCTCAGATGCAAACTGGATGATCAAACACACGACACTGTTTCTGGGGAAAACTAGTTTCACAAAAGCGTTTGGCCAGCAAGCACGTGACAATAATTAGAGGCGAGCCACTTGGGCACGTGCGCTGCTTCTGCGTCACACAGTCCCGGGGCGGTCTCCGGTCAGTCTAGCCAGCCAGCGGACCAGGGAACCGTAGCTCTGCGTGAGTGACGTCCTGGACGCAGCAGATAACCCAGCACCGTCTTTGTCAGGATAAACGTACAGTTACCTCCCTTGTTCCTCAGGGCCCCCTGCTTCCTGCTACGATGTAAAATCAAGACCCGGAAAAATGGAACGAAAAGAAATGCCAGTTGCATTTGTTGACCACACCACACGACCCAGGCTCCACAAGGACACTGCACATGGCCTCGGTCCCCTGGGGATGGGTCTGCCTCCTCTTCCAGCTCTGAGCTCCCCCACGACTCTCCCGTGTTGCTGATAGGGATGTGCGGCCTGGAGCCAGTGTCTCTCGGGCACGGACACAGTCAATTCCTCTGTAAGCCCTGCCCGGCCGTGAAAAGCATCTGTCTTCCAGACTCGAATGTTTCAAGTTTGTCTGGGTTGAGACTTTTACAAATCAGATGTTCATTACTCCCTATAAGGCCATTCAGGGGTCTGGGGGAAGATTTTATTTACTTATTTTTAGAGAGGGGGGAGAGAGAAAGATGGGAAGAGAAATATTAGTGTGTGGTTGCCTCTCACATGCCCCTAATGAGGACCTGGTTTGCAGCCCAGGCGTGTGCCCTCACTGGGAATCAAACAGGTGACACTTTGGTTCATAGGCAGACACTCAATCCACTGAGCCACACCAGCTGGGGCTCCATTCATTTTTACACCAAAGAAATGACAGGTGTTCTGCTCTGCAGACCATGTGTCCGCGGAGACCCCAGCAGGGCCGGCGAGAGCAGTGCGGTGGAGGCTGAGACACACCCCGCCCCTTCAGGCTCAGCCCTGTTGCTGCCCCGTGGCCCTCGGGGTGCGCACCGGGCTGCTCCATTCCACAGCGAGCGTGTGCTGCAGCCACTGCAGGCCCTTCTGCATTGAGGTGCTTGGCTGACTCAGCAAACACACACGCTCACTGGCCTCCGCCATGAGAGGCCAATGGCACCACGCGAGAGGAACGTCAGTCTCCACAACTGCTGGCTCTTGTGACAAAGCTGGTCGTTTCGCGAGAGAAAACTCATCCCACAGAAAACCAGCTCAAAGTCATACCCAGACCCGGAGGCAGACGAGCACACGTGCTTTGTTTTTCCCAGGGCATCTCACGCACCAGACAGCGAGGGCACCCCCTCTGGGGCGGGGCTTGACGCGGTGGTGCCCGTGCGACAGGTGCGCGCTCTGCTTCCACGAACTGGGACCAGAACACAGGCCGGTGCAGTGCAGAGAGCTTTGGGGTCCTTACTGCTGTCAAGGTCAGTGGTCTTGCAGCATTCACACTTTCGTTTTCTTCACTTGTTGTAACACAGTGTGTTTGGAATTTGAACATAAAAACTCTGGGGGTTTGGCTTAGCCAGAGAAGGCAAACAAAGCAACTAGTCAGGCAAAGAAACTACAGTCTATCCTAACTTCAGATATTTGAACACAAATTCCTGAAGCTGCATAAGGGATACGTGTTTTGATAAATACTTAGCAATTGGAACCATTAATAAATGACAAACCACTATCAGTACTCAAAAATTAAAATAACTTTAATATCAGGAATAAAAACTGTTTTTTAAAAATTAAATTTATTGGGGTGACATTGGTTAATAAAAGTTTAAATATTTCTTCTATAGTATAGTAACAAGGAAACCTTTTAAAATTTCATATTAATGAACATTATATTTAAAATCAATATTGCTTATACTTAAGAAAAAGGAATTAAAATTAAGAGCTTTTTGAAAAAAGAGCACATGTACCTATAAACAAGAAAACTCAGTGGGGAATCCATACTAATTTTGACACTATTCTAAAAATACATAAAGAAGTCTACGGACCCCAAGATCCAGAGGTTCGGCAGAGTAGGGCACAGGCTGGGGGCACGTGTCTCAGCCCGGGAAGTGGTCTGCCCTGGGTGTGAGGCCAGTCCCACAGTCTCCTGAAGGCAGTTTGTGTGCCACAGCTTCTGCTCTGAACGGGAGCACCGCTGCCCCATTGGGACACCTGGCTGCCAAGTACATGGTAAACTCAACCCAAGAACATGCTTGGGGTTTTGCAACAAGTCAGAATGAGGACACAAAATGCAAGCATTAAAGGCTCTGTATGTTAAGGGCTTCCGTGGGCTGTAAAGCTATGAACGTACAAAAACACACTCTTATAAAGTCATTGACTTCCTCGCTTGTCTCCATCTGCCTGTCTGCTGAGCCCAGCTGAGAGGTGGCCCTACCCAGGCAGGTTCTGGGTGTTCCCACACAACGGCCATGTCACTGCAGTTGCCAGTTACTCAGTTCTCTTGGGAATGTGCTTTCTGAGGACGTGACTGAAACAGCCTCACACAGAAACATGGCGAACACAGGAAGAAAAACACAGAAGCATCAACGGTGGCGGGACAGTGGGTCCCATACCGGCAGTCACAGCTCCACACAGTGCAACTTGCAAATCAATTAAAGCTGCATCCATAGAAATCAGACACTCACTCACTTTACCAAACATAATTGAATTACACTTCTGGGGGGATTAATGTCACGGCGCACTTGGCCATGACTTCGACTAGAATTTCCAGGAGGATTCTAGCAATCCCAGCCATCCCAGTGTCCCTGAGGCCCAATGGCCATGGGCCAAGTTCTGCACAGGCAGGGAGTGAGGCACAGCCCCCTTGGTGACGTCTGGGCAGACATAACCATGTACTGGCTCGGCATTGTCACTGCCAAGGAGAGGACGGGCACCGGGCATGTGGCATCATGCCTGGGACAGAACATGCATCCCTCAAAAGTTTAACGTGGTTACAATTTTAAGAATTCAGTTGAAACTCACGATCGCATAATAGTTGAACCTGTGTTGGGCGGTTTCTGGACCAAGTCTCTGCTTTGAAGGCTGGACAGGAAGCACGGGCAGAGGGCGATGGGGAGGTGCTGAGTGTCCCCAGCTGCCTTCCAGGGCAGTCGCATGGCAGCGGCCCCAGGAGCCTCTGTCTGCCCTCCCTGGCCTGGCCCCCGGCAGCTGCCACACTCCCTCTGCGGGGGAGGCCGTTAGGATCAGACACTATCATCCGGGCTCAGGGGGCAAGCTGGAAAAGGGACAGACAGACAGATAGAGGCAACCAATCCAGACCTGGGAGGAGGTGGAGAGAGGGTTTTCTACATCTCTCTGGTGCAGGGAGAGAGTGTGAGTCAAATCCCTTGTTTTCACATGCAGAGGAAGAGGACGCTGGTCCAAGACCAGCAGCGATGGCTCCAGGCCAGGCCATCAGCCTGCAATGGGACCCCACACCCAGGGGCACGTGCGGGAATCCTAGGGAGCCTGCTGCACAATTAGCCCTGTGCTGCTTGTTTCCATATAGTCACTGAGCAGACACTTCTTGAGCACCCAGGTGTGCCTGGGAACTTTCTAGACAGTCTGACCTTGCTGCCACATTTGAGAGGCAGCCCAGATGACACCCCCGTGTGCCTGGAGCAGAGGCGTGCTGAGGACTGGGACTAGGGTTGGACTTCTGGGGTCTGGAGGCCCACCGTCCTCTACCCAGCCCACGGACGGGACCTGCCTTGCCATCGCCCTCACGGGATGCTGCACAGTCCTGGGCCCGGACATGCAGAGCTGGGCAC